GAGAGAGAGAGAGAGAAAGAGACCTATTTCATCCCTTTTCTGATTCTTACAACCGTCTTCTTTAAATTCAGCTCTGATGAACATACACCAGTAGAAGATGAAGAGCCAAAGAAAAGCACCACTTCAGCTTCTACTTCAGAAGGTATTTTTAAATACAGACTTTTTATTGAGATGTCAAAAAAATAAGTTTATAAATAGTTGAACATTAGACTTTGCTTTTATTCAAATTGTCTATCATGCATTCCTTTTCAATATTTCAAATACAATAAAATTGATACTCAGAAATGCATCTTTACAAGTTAGTTTTTTGTTTGTATTTTATGTAGAAGAAAAGAAGAAGAAGAAGAAGTCTAGTCATTCAAAAGAAAGGTCCAAGAAAAGGAGGAAGAAAAAATCATCTAAAAGAAAACACAAAAAGTATTCTGACGATAGTGACAGTGAGTCTGATTCTGAAACTGACTCCAGTGGTAAGAAAATCAACATCATTCTGCAAGCTTTGCTTCGAAGCTAGTTTTACTTCTTAAAGCTTATTTCAGAAGTAGGCTCTTCAAAACAATAATAATAGTCAAGAGTTTTTGAACACTTACTGACTTTGCGCCGGGCACCCTGCTAAGTGCTTGATATTCATTATTGCTTTTTAATCCACCCAGTAACTACAGGATAGGATACATCTTAGAGAAGGGAAAAGGGAGACACAGAGCAGTTTATAAGTACCATCCTCAAGGTCACACAGCTGGGATTCGCACCTAAGCAATGTGACTCCAGATTGGTTGTATGTAGTTGTACAAGGCATGTGGCACTGAACCAAGTCGGGGTTGGGCTGCGAGACCTGTGGTGCCACACCAAGCCATACAGGGCTGCATCAGCCCATCGGAGCAGCTCTTTTGTGTAATTCTCACACTCAGTTGGCACCTTTGTGCAGTTTTCAAAAACGGCATACCACAAAGGACCCCATTCAGGTTGGCAGCTGATTTAAGGATGACACCCCCTGTGGGTGGCACATCACAAAAAGTAACCTTTTTGTGCCGTCTCCTGGCTGATGATTGACAGAGGGTGCCTCCTCTGGGGCACATTACACAAAGGCACCCCTTCCTCTGGTGTCATTCCCACTGTCACTTTTCTTCCTCACTGCTGGAAGACTGAACCTTTTTCCTTAATAAAGAAAGGTTTATTTATCGAAATGGCGACTGGACTTCCTTAAAGCACAAATCCAAGCATGTCAGTCCCCTACTTAAAATCATTCAGTAGCTTTGCATAGCCTTCAGGGTAAAGTTCAGACCCTGATTGACCCTGCTCTAATCACGTATACCCTGTCACTTTCTCTCGTACCATCCTGTGTAGCCTGAGAACTACCTTCTGTCTCCTCAATAGTCCTTGTTCTTTCTCTTGATTTTGTTACTTGATACCAAGAATCCGTCTGCCTGTAATGCCAGTCTCTCCCTGCATGTGGCTTGGCTTATTCGTTTCAACAATGGGCATGCGTGACTTTTGTAATAAAACTGATTTTAAAAAGAACCAGCTTCAGAGTCACCTTTGCCTGGTCAATCATTCCTCGACCACCTTCCCCAAATCAGCCTGATTTTGAGACTCCTCTATAAGTCCAGAACACCCCAGACATCCCCCATCACTCCGCCTTCTATTTATCTCTTTACCTCTGTCTCCTCCATTAGATTGAGCTCCTGGAAAGCATCCCCTCAAACACGCGTAAGGGTTTTT